ACAGTTACGACATACCGTAACATCAAAATGGCTTTTATTTCCATTCTATTCCAGTAATTCATCCAATCACAACGCGTAGTCACAGTTACGTGCTACATTACGACTATGAATTTGCCGTATACTCTTGTGGGGTGCAGCCACACGACTCCGTCAAAATCCCTCAAGATATAAATAACGATGAAACAGCCGCCATCTTGGTTGATTCAACAAGAGAAGCAAATGAGGAATGCTTTGTATAGTCAACCAACATGGTGGCTATGACGTAACATACACCCCAAGAATAGTATCCCACTCAGAAGAAGCTAGGATTTATTGGTTCGAAGGTCAATTGTCAAGAGAAATTGAAAATGGTGAAACAACACTTTTTAACCACTCTACAGTCTGGCGTCACTCGCTCATCGTTAACACAATAGCTTGCCTTGGATCTATAGACTCTCCTAGCAAATCGATACTCTTAAAGACTCTAGGCTGGCCCCAGACTGTTTTTATAGAGGTTAATTAAAAGAGAATGTTCTTCTAATAGACTTATAAGTCGTGCCGGTAGGCCACCCAAATTAAAGCTATTACTAGTAGCGTTATTGGTACAAGTCGACTGTCTGATTTTTAGTCTGAATCCTTTAACCCCGTAAAACCGCACAAGGTGGACCTTTCTTGTTGCGTAGAATAAAAGAATAAAATAAATGGCCGTCATATTGGTAGATATAGTACAACAAACACCAAGATCGATTTGTTTGTTACTAGTCATCCAAGATGACGGCTATGAATAAATATTAATAAATATTGCTATTAACATTGGATTCCACAGAGTGGCTTTTTTAGGAGTTGATTTTTGTGGAGGGAGGAAAAACCCTTCTCCCTACTATGAAGTCATCTACTTACTAATAATAGACAATTTTACCTTGTTAAACGTATTTCCATTTGAGTTGAATTGTCATTCCCTAGAGTATTATTGTTTTGTTTAACAGCTGCACATGAATATGGATACAACTCAAAAGTAGAATCTTATTCTCTAGAGAATGACACGTGGTCTGAAACGGGAAAATATTACGCCCAAGGTAAAGACGTCTGTTGCATGATGTAGAAAGATTTGATTATTATCGGTGTCCAAGACGTGTTCGTTTATTCTGGCATTCCTTCGTATTTCGTTCGCTTATTTGTTTATTTGTTTGTTTGTTTGTTTGTTTATATACATATTTCTAGAATGTTAAGGGTGTTGCTAGTCATCTAACACACTTATTAACCCAAAATACACTCTCGACTAGAGAGATGAGTTTCTGCGGATGCAATCAAATCTTATAGACTTGCCCCATGAATGTTTAGTTCATCAATCTCATCCAGGTCATTAAGGAGAAGCCCGGAACTCGAATAATATGCTCCTTTCCTAATCAAACTACCACAGATACTTCAAAAAACATTGTCATTCGACTAACAACTCTATCTAAACACTCCTTTCTACCACCTCTTTCTCTTTTACTCCGACGAAGGACTAGCGTCCGAAACGTCAGTAAGTTTTTTCATCTTTTCACGGTGTATATTTACCTTTTTATCACAACTCTATCCAGTGATGAATTCAAAGCTTACTTAAAAGCTTGTTTTATGTCTCGCTATCGAGCGAGGCTTTTTTCTTGTCCAAACAATTCCTTTGAAACACTTTAATTCCAGTTATATTTCTTTTATCTTTAGTTTCATTTTATTTGAGACAACGAGCTTTTCAAAGCATTACAAATTTTTTCTGTTTATATTTAGTTTCCTCAAGCAAACGGTGAATGATTGAGGAAGTAGCTAAACACTGATGAACATAGAGTCATTCTCCATTGTCCTGCTTCCTTTATTGGGCTGATAAGAATGACAAGTTTAGAGACAAAACTTCAAGCAGTCTCCTAGCAGACTAGAGATAAATCCCCAGATCAACAGACTTTTAAACCAAAGCCGAATAAGGGTCAAGCCCGTTCCTAAAAATACAGAGAGTCATCATCTGTCTTTGCCAAGCTATTTAGATCTTGTTTAGTTTTCCAAGATGGGTTGATCTTTAAGCTTTTTGTCGTTGCGGGTAGTTTGGTTTAATTGGGTTAAACAATAGATGATGAATGTAGTGTTTCGTAATTCGTAAATCAAACAAACTGCTTCCGTTATTCAAAAAAACAAACAAATAAACAAATCGAAAGTTGATTTGATGAAACGATCCTAACTTATGTTATTTAAACTCTGCAAAACCATTGACCGAACGTTCCATAGTAAAATGCCTCTAAAAAATATTGGTTGCAAAAAATAATAATGATAATAAAAAAATTGGAGGATGTTGAAGCAACAGTCTACATCCCATTTTGACCTTCCTTGGCAAGCAAATCCTAAGACATATGTCATTCCCTTTTTTCCCATTTGACAGCGCAGATTACTTAGAGGCTTTACTCTTTCAACTCTTTCTAATTACAATTTCAAATTTTGTTGGAGTTTTTTTGTAGCACCGAGGTGGTCTTTACCAAGAGACACTAATTTGTGTACAAAGACGAGAAAGCTATTTTTGTAACCCGTCAGTCATGCATCGATATCATGTTACAGTCCCAGGAAAGTGGCCATCCAAAGGGAAGCAAACTTAGACCTGACGTACGGGAAAGGCGACCGATCGAGATGGTAGAATGAAGAACATTTTAGCCTCTCTTTTAGTGTCTTTATGGATTCTTCTTCACGACTTGCTGTCAACTTCATAATCCTCGTCTTATCTGCTATAAGTAAGTACAAAGATTACTAAATAACTCTCTGAATAACGCTTTCCTTTTTGTACTCAAAAGCATTAACATTCGCAAGCAATGCCTTGTTTAATGTTATTTGACAGTATAGACTTTCTGTGATTTAGATTCGATTCTATCACTGTTGAATTTAGAAAGGATTTGGCTGCGTTTTTGAGTTGGTTATTAGGAACAGTGTATAGTTTTTGATCCGCTTACTAAGTAGATTAGCTAGAAAGGCATATTTCCAAATCCAAGACTCCATTAGAACAAAGCTAGAAGTAGATCCATAAACACAAGCAGTGTTCATTTAACTGTGATTTCACATGACCCCAATACACTCAGCTCCTTCATCGTTCGTAGCCTATACAATCTTAAAGTACATCTTTACTTGTTGTATAAGTATAGGGCAATTGTGAATAATATATTGTTTGCAGAACTCCTCAATGACAGCTAGATAAAACACTATAAACACAAAGAAACCTTTCACGGGTTCCTCAAAGTCAAAGATGACACGACTTATCTGTGCCATACGCTTGTGGTTTAGTAACAGATATCACGAGTTAAACTGAGGTTTTCCGAACAGGAACAACTAGATTTTTCTTTTATTTGAGTTTCAAGGTGACTAACATGAAAAAAAACATTAGCACTCAGTATGAAAATATTGTTAATTAGAACTGAAAACACTAGCAGGTAATTATCCTAGATGATGGACTATCCAATTTACTAAGGTATATGTATCCACGGGTATTCATTGCTACTTAGCTACTCTGAAAACCACGATGAGGTCAGAGAGTCTTTTCCCAGCGGATAGGGTGACCCATTTTGTCATCGCTTTTCTATGGTTGGCTTTTATCATCGCAAACTTTTGCAGACAATACTGAGGAAATGGACCTCGAGCTTTAACGCTGTGTTTGTTGTCATTAAAGACTTTAGTACTAGTAGAAGAAGGAGAAGGAGAAGGAGAAGGAGAAGGAGAAGGAAAAGGAAAAGGAAAAAAACAAACAAAACAAAACAAAACAAAAAAGAGAACAAAGGAGAGCGTCATGAAAAATTAAGTCTTTAAACAAACTGATTTTTTGACATAGTCACTTCAATTTCATTTTAAATCCTTCAAATCAAAACATCTTGCAAAACATTTTTCTCGCTTATTGATTTAATAAAAAGTGAAACACCCAAAGAGTGTTCAGACAGCGCGAGACTGCTGTTTCCTTTCCTCTGCATCTGTTTTGTAACGGATACATATATCTCAGACTTGCTCAATCAGCATTTTTTTCTTTTCTAATTCTCAGGTCTTCAAATTGTGCAGCCATGTTCCCCAGATGAATACGAAACCCTCACCTCAATCAAGGGTCGTTTCTCAAGCCCTCATTTCCCAAACTACTTCCAGAAAGCAACCCAATGTAACTGGTTGATAAACGTCGCTCCAGGCTATGTAGTTGCTCTACAGTTCGACACGTTTGAAGTAGGACTCGATGCTGAATGCTCGAATCGGGAATCCCGTACGAATTTTGTCGAGGTGCGGGATGGCATGGAACACAAGAATAGGACTATAGGAATATTTTGTGGCTCAATAAGACCAGAGGAAATCTCTAGTAGTGGCAACCAAGTGTGGATAAGATATGTGACAAGTGGGTACAGATCGACAAAGTTTGAAGCTCGTTATTCTGCAACTAAAGGTAAAATTTTGTACAAAGTCTTAATGGGTTTTTATCATGAAGGAAATGTTTTTTTCGACTTCCAAGTCTCTAACTATTCTGTCTCTTTCTTTGTTTTCTTCTTGTTCTTTCAGCTTTCTTTTGTATGCTGTTGTCGTTACTTCTCGGTCTTTTATGATCATGAGTTGAATTGTTTTCTCGGTGTTGTTGAGGTATCTCTCGCTCTCCTCTTTACACCTCGTTCTCGTTCTTGTTGTTCTTGCTCTTGTTCTTTCAGTTCTTCCTCTTTTCTTATTTTTTGTTCCTCTTTTTCTTGTTCTTCCCGTCCGTCTTGTTCTTGTTCTACTTGTTCTTTTTCGACTGGTTCCACCATCTATTCTTGCCTTGTGTTCATGTTCTCATTCTTCAGTCAGCATTATTATCATCGTCTTTTTCTTCTGCTGCTTCTCTTCTTCTTCTTTCTCTTCTACTTCCTCTATTTCATCCTCTTCTATTTTATTCTACTTTAATAATAACTACTTATCCTTAACAATGGCAAAAGATGAATCAAATGATGGTAATTTTAAGGACGATACACGGTAAAACTACCTGAAACTTGAGTAGTCTCTACCTGAGTAGAGAGATCAGTTCCACTTTTTCATAACTTTCTTGCCAAGAAGTTTCACAAGGACTAGTTTTTTACATCATGCAATTTGTCCTAACTTGCACGCAAGTTCATCTGGAATTTTGAAGTGTAACAGCACCTTGGGCACATTTACATTAAGCATAAAGTTTTTATTCGTTTGCATCAATAAACATAACAATTTCGTCCTGCATGCCCCTGACTCATCACTCATAGCCGAACAATAGGCCTTTTGCAATACCTTAACACGTGATTATTACTGCATGGCAAAAAATTTGGACTTCCTTCATTTAAAATATTTTTGCTGGATTACTAATGTCGCATCCAACACCTTTTCAAAAATACTTTTCAAAAAAGATATTTTCGATTTCAAGATACGAAGCAATTTAAAGTTTGTTTGCCATCCAGCAGAGCCTTCCCCAAGGGACCTTGAGCTGAATTGATTCGTTATCAAAGTCATATATCATCAGTACATGACTGTTTGTTGCAAAAGGCCTATTCTTTCCATAACAGGAACGAGCATCGTTCTTGATGTATTTTTAGGATGGATTAAATAAATCATGCAGTGCTGTTATTAATTGTCAATCTCATAACAGAAAGAGATGACAATAAAAAATGTCATGGCACAAATGGAACGAATCCTTCTCCTTCATTTTTCAATGCGACTGTCACGTTACGGAATCCTTGAATAATAGCGGCGGAGTAAATTTTGCTGCTGCCGTTACTTGTGTAACTAGTCTTTCCTTATGTAACTGTCGGGGATAAGAATAAAATATAAAATTAAAGCATTTTTGAGCATTAATATAATATTTAATTTTCTACCAGATTCATCTGCATCCACCATTATTCTTCTTGCCTCAGCCGCCATCATCGGAACCATCTTTTGCATTTCTATCACCATTGCAATTGTCAAGCGAAAACACCGTGACCATGACGACGAAGCAGGATTAAATCCAATACGTGACGACGCTGAAATGGACAACAATCGAGCCTGCGCACTAGAACAACTTCCCGCATTCGTGCTGGGCGTGGCAGATGACTCGGAGACGAGCCAGACAAACAAGAAGCAATCCCCGTCAAGATCTCTATTGAACAAGCAAACCAGTCACGTGAGAGGAGAAGTGGACAAAACAGACGTTCATCTCCATGACAACGGTGAAAGTCGAATGAATCGATTAAGCATGGGTGAACATAATTTGGCTATTTCTGATTTAACTGATATAGACAATGAAAATCCTGATATGTTAGACGGACTGAAAGCGCCGAGCGACGCCGCTGCGACGGACCAAAGAGGAAGCCATTCCGGGTCAATTTTAACTGCAACCAAAATGATTTTCGTCCAAGATTCATCATCATCTAGAAGTAGTACTTCGAGTAGCAACAACAGCTTTGAACAATAGCAACATTAAAGGGAATAATCCTCTTTAGCTTGGATGTGATGTTTTCCCATTTCAGACCACGTGTCATTTGCTAGAGTATTCGCTAGAGTATCGCAACCTTATCGGGAATACTCCTCTTCACCTTGGATGTAATGTTTTCCCATTTCAGACCACAGGTCATTCGCTAGAGCATCGTTTCTTTGTTTAGCGGTTGTGCACGAGAAGACACATGAATATACATACAACTCAAACAAAGAATCTTAATCTCAAGTGAATGACACGTGGTCTAGAATGAAAAACATCACACCCAGAGCTAAAAAGGTCAATTACAATCTCTAATAAATATTCAGTTAGTGAGCCAATCGTGCTCTTTTGAGGGACATCAGACATGACAACCTTCAAAATAGACAAAACACTTTTAGTAAAGTTTTTACGGTTTTCACACGTGAAAAAAAAATTCTTCGAAAGCTCCGAACGCATGCACAGGCTATAAGTAACAATGCAGAGGCTTCAAGCTTCACCAACTTCATCAAAAAATGAATTTAAGACACTGATGACTTGCCGAAAGTTAATTAAAAGTTTACATTGTTCTGTTCGGATCGGCTTGTAACTTAATCTAGCGTGTAAGCCATTATCTTCAGAAAAACAATCTTCTGGACGGTGTTTATATTGCAGTTTTCAGTAATAATTATTCCTCAGTAGAAAAATATTATTATCAGTCCTAAGTGAAAACTTAAAGATAAGTATTAGTTGCCAAAAGATTTAAAAGAGCTTGAATAACAATAAAGACTCATAAGTTTTACTAAATAAAACAATCTGCAAGGTGAGTCATCGTTGTCTAAATATTAGGAAGTGGATTTTTCTAAATTAGAAATGACTGCACCGTATGAAATATTTTGGAAAATGCGACCAATTTTATCCAAAATTTTCAGAAAAAATATTACTTTAGTATTCTAGAATTTGACTAAGAACGTTAATTCTGAATTTCTTGATTCTTTTTAACAACGGGAGTTTGGATTTCAAGTTCGGCTCCGTTCCAAGTTCATTATTCCAATTCCAGTATTTACAGCGCGTACAAATATGTAACTCGAGAATTTTTCGCGTATAAATTAAATGCGATCGGTTCTACAGCATCCATGCATTAGACATAGCACAACGCTCRAGAAAAAATTGCCGGTATAACTAGTAGTCGATCGCTGAAGAAGAAAAATATGTCGCTAAGGAAGCGGCATTCCTTTGGGATATTCTTGGCCATCG